AAATATTTTCTATAAGTTCCACCAAAACATTGGAAAATTTATAAAATATAGTACTAATAATACTAATTTCACAACAAAATGTGTTTTTCATTTAAAAATTTTAGTAAATTAAATTTAAATATAAAGAAGCCCATATCATCAAAATCAAAAGATTATATATAATTAATTGATACTGTTATTCGAACAAATAAAATGAGAGTGCTAATACTTTACTCACTCATAACCATACTCCTTAACTTAACATTAATTTCGTAGATTTAAATTTTTTTTAATAAATCTTAATTAATTTTTAAATTTTTATTAAAAGATGATATTTTTGGGTGATCAATCACACTTTATAAAAAAATTAATAATAACTCTAAAAAATTTTTATTAAGTTTAGTGCTTGAGTTTCTTCAAACAAAAAATTGTTATGACATTGGTATGCTGTCAAAATATTAACCGAGAAATGTTAAAGAATCCGAGAAAGTATGAATCCAAAAGTGAGATTAAATCTTTCATTTTAAAGTTTATGTTATCAACGCTCCATCAGTAATTTTTGTTTCATTTGTTTCATCAGTTTTGGATTCCGACCATTCAGTACATCCTAGTTAAATAAGTTATAAATAGGATGGAGCTGGATCCAAAAATGGCATACATTTATGCAAATATTGCTTAATTTGTTAGGTAAAACCTAGAATTACACATTCTGTTGAACTTGCAACATAATGTAACCTTAAACATTGAAAAGCCATAAGTCTATTAAAATACAAAATGATTGAATATGAAAATTTAATCCTTTTCCTGGTTCCGCTATTGCAATTTTTTTATATATATGATTAAAATCATGCAATCACGTCAAATACAATGAACAAAAGACTTTAAATGCTTTAAGGGTACAATAAATTGATATGACAGTCTAAAGACAAGATATGTGATCTTAGAATGTCTAAAGCAAGATTTTTGAATAGAGGCTTTGGGGGTTTGATTGGGAAGAAAGTCAATAGTTGGGGAAACATTCTTGTGTACTGATAACTTTTTAATGCTTTTTAGCTGTAAGGCTAAAAAAATTAGGTGCCTGTGAATACCAACAAATCGTAATTTTTTATGGTTCAAAATGAGATTTCCTTGTTTAACATTGGATAGATAATATTGCCTGTCCATATTCACTGCCCACAGGACACCTTTAATAAATGTCTGAGAAAACTTTTGAATTTGAAAGTGGTAATTGATTTTGTGGACAGTATGATAATTGTGTGGGAGTATTTCATTCTCTGAAAAAAAAAATGTGCCGTTGAGCTAAATTGAGATGGGTTCTTTTCATCCAGGTTTTGGATTTAATGACAGAAAACTGCTGGATTGTCCACAGAAGAAGTTTGTGCCCAAGGGAGCAGATGGGAATCCTCTCAAATTGGATAATGGTTGTGGGTCACTGCAATTACTTTAGTTACAGCTTAAAAATGAGAAGTTTGAATTTGGGTGCTTAAATTTCTTTCAAAAAAATGACATGTAGTTATTGCTCTGTTTGATATGTTCAGGGTAGGCAGCACAGCAGGCAGGTTCCGGCCAGGAGTTGAGTCATCTCTACCAAGAAAGAGGGACCAATTGAAAGCCAGCCAATCAATCTAGCTTCGTTGCCAAGAGCCTAACGGGCACTTATGATTAATAGGCACATGCTTTTCAAGGTTGTTGAAAATTTTGCAGTTCACCAACTTTGGTGGACCCTCCTTTTGTTTTGCTTTGCTTAGATGAATTCTGATTTAAACAAATAAATAAACCTGGAAGAGGAGCTGGTTGGGCCATATTGGGCCAGACTTGTTAAAGCTGTGGGCCGTGAACTTGATGGTCCACATCTCTAACAGCAGACACCGTATTTGGGCCATTATAATCCAGTTGTGCCCCAAAAGATTGGAAAAAAAAAATGAAAATGAAAATTCTTTGTGGCTGATATTGTTTTTGTTATTTTTAACAAATTTCTAATGTTTGTCGGATATGTTGGGATCGAAATATGATCTTTGTTTACTATTCTAGGCCATGGTGGCCACATTATGCAATGAAAGAAAAGAGTTCATAGGGATTCAAGAAAGCCTTTGACGGTGATTTCCAAGTGTAAATTAATTACAAATGCCCTGAGATATAACTTAAAACTTTGAATTTTTAATTTTAACGATTGAGATTTATATTTTGATAAATTTAAATATAAAAAATAAAATTTATTAAAAATAAGTTAATCATTCAAGAAAACAAATGAGAATTAAGATGATCAATTATATGTCAAAACCTAAACTCATAGGAAATGGTTCAATTTTATAAATATATTTATGTTTTTCGCATTTTTATCTAATTGCTTTGGTGCCTAAGTTTGATAAATGATTATTAGATTTTCATGCGAAATTTAAAATGTGGATATGCATGTAAGAAGAAATGGAGAAGATCACAAATAATTATATCCACTCGCTGGGTGAAACATTACATGAAGACGTTTTTAAAATTCAATTACGAGACTTTATGATACTATCAACAAAAGATAGTTATATCTTCCTAAACTCTATACTAATATTAAAGTATTTGATTGAATTTAGTGTCACTTGACATCAATTCAATTTGAAAAATTACTTAAAACTCAAACCAAAGTTATAATAAAAGAAATGAAGTTAAAGGTGTTTATATCTTAAAAGTCTTAAAACAAAATAATTTTTAAAATTTTTTTGGGGTCATGATGAGAGAAAGCAGATCTCATGATTAACCCTTAACAATGTAATTACACAAAATGGTGCCTAAGAATTAGTTCTAGTGCCTAGACCAATTTAAATTGTTCAATATTATTGGATTGCAAGCATAATTAGCTAGCTGTTTTCAAATTCCAAATTAAGTATCAAGAAACCAAGAAAAGACACGTTATAGTATATTTCACTTAATAATTAATGCAAATTTATTCTCCTATTCAAAGAATTGAATTTTAATCTTTCATATCCCTTAAAATGATAGGTTGATAATCCTCATCAGCGGCAACGGCAAACACTTATAAATGAATCTTTTCTGCTGAGAAAAAAAAAATCTGTATGTTCAACTCATCCTCCCCGGATCAAAGAGAGGAAAATAATGATTTGGAATGGAAATTTTAAAGGATTCATCGATCTGGTTAGGATGCTAGAATCTGGTGACTAAATTTAAATAGAACTAATAATTATAGCTCACTCTCCCTATGTAGAGCAAGTTGGTGCTAGGAGGTTTGCGTTCATCCCCCTTTCCATAATGTGCTAAGGCTAACTGTTTTTTTTTTTTTTTTTCTCTATAGGCTTCATTAAATTATATATATAGCTATAAAGTGGAAATTATACCATTTTCATAGTTTAAAAAGCTTTAATATGTCTGTCACTCTCTTCATTTGCAAAAGTGATCAATGATCGAGTAAATGTCAAAGATAATTGCAATTAACTCGATCGAGGATCATTCTTGATTATCCGAGCATTTATATATGTGAGAATTATTTTTTCAGATGGGAAAATCACTTATCTAATAAGAAATCCTTTCCCTCTAATTGATTGTTAGAAGTATATATATATATATATATAAAACTACTGCAAGTTACTACCTTTGCAACAGCTTAATCTGGCACAATCCATTTAACATTTTTTAAGGCATAGCTGCCTATATATGGCTACATTATATGTACATGTTGATTTAGTTTTGTTTGATTTAAGCTCACCTAAAAATTTTGATCTTTATAACCTTAAGCTTAATTCAAGTAGTTTATATAGTTACTCTTAAAAAATGACATCTAATAAATTTGAAATTTAAATTTCTAACACTTGTAACTTTTTTTATGTATTTTTAAATTGTGATCTTCTTTATAAAAAACAAATTGATGCTTACAATATAATTCATTAGAAAGATTAACTGCTTTCTGAATACAAATAAAATCATGTTTAGGTTAAAAATTGCTATGATCTTCATTGATAATAAGTTTCTAAATATTTCTGAGTCGATCTCTTAACAAGAATTCCTATAATTCTAATTAAGGATGACTTAATTAATTACTTTTGAAAACCTCTAGCTTTACGACAATATAGTACAAGCTGAAGCCACTTAAAAAAAAAAAAAAAGAAGCTCATAACATTTCTATAAATAATCTTCACATGCATGTAAAGAACCCTAGGATAACTACATATATACTTTAGACATTTACAATAGTACCATAGAATTCGCAGCGAAAACACCAATGTCATCACTTAATCCAATCACGTTTATTGTTGATCATACCAAAAAAAACTATGATGTTAAGGATATACAAACAATTGTAACATTATTTTCAATTAAAAGAAAAAAATATGCAACATGAAATATTTTTCAAAATTTTTTTTGACAAGAGTTTATAATAAAATTGTTGTCAAACTAATAATGTCTAGCCTCAACAGGAAAACTACACAAGAATTAGACAAGAAGAAACATAAAGGAAGATACCGTGTTGTATGTTGCTTGATCAAATTCAAAGGATACAATTTGAGGTTTGGAACTTTGAATTGACTATAATTAAATTATATTTAGAAAGAAATTAAAAGGAAGAAATTTGAGGAAGAAAGATGTTCCTTTACAATCACAAACATAAATTAAATAAATGAAATTTGTGGAAAATTAAAAGTAGAATATAGAAAACAACAGCTCGATTTCTACATAAACACATCGAAACAATATACTTACCTCAGGGAGCATTGATTTTAGGTTGATCAATTCATTCAGCGCCATTCTTCCATCTTTTGGTCCCAATTATTTCCAGAACAAGAAACCCCTTTTTCATTCAATCCAATCCCAATGTGCGTCCACAAATTATTTCTAAATTCTTAATATCTACAGAAAGAACCTTATAAATAATGTTTTTTCTGAAAAAAAAAGGCTTCTTAAAATCAATTTGCCCTATCTATGAATCATGCAGTACCTGTCAAAACAATTTCTCCACTGTACAATGAAATTCCTTAATACAAGAATATATGGTTATGTATAGAAGTTGCAACAATACTGTACTATGGATCATGACCGAGTCGAAGCTCCAAATCCACTTCATCTTCTTTCATGATTCCCCTCCTCACGTCACTTTCATCTAGATTAATTGCAGGGCCAATTTGAAGGCTCAAGTCTGCACCCAAACGCTCTTCATTCATGCTCAAGGGTTGCGACCTTGGAGGGGCAAGAAAATCACAATCATAATAACCATATGGAAGTCTCGGGCTATACACTGGTGGTTGAATTTGAGCAGCCTCCATAATCGGATAGTGCTTTGATGGTTGATCAATTGGGATTGGTGGAACATATCTAGGGTTCATGTAGTCCTCATTCATTGGTTCACTTGGAACCCAAGAACTTGTTGGTTGCTTGGCCTTGGCTCGATCTCTTCGGTGTATGTTCATGTGTCCCCCTAAGGCCTGAGCGTTGGTGAAGCCTCGCTTGCAAAAAGTACACTCATAGGAGCGTTTCCTGGTAGCAGTGGTGTCACCCTTGACTGGATCAACCCGATCATTTTCTTCATTCAAAGTATCAGACCTTCCTTGTTTCTCTGATTCCATCCCCACCAAAATTTGTCAAAAACTTTTCCAGCTAATTACTCTTAACACAGAAGATCACTTCTTAATTATTAGCTACACACTTCTCAGAAAGAAAAGAAAATAGGGAGAGAATGGTGTGGGGGGTAAAGAAGGGTTATATAGAGAGGAAAAGGTAATTAAGAAAGAAGGGAACGTAGAGACAATTAGAAGACATTGGCTTTGCCATTGCATTTTTTATGTATTTGTATGAGGAGAGACTAGGTTTTGGCTTTTGCATTAGGACTTTTCCTTTCAGTCGGCTTTATGATGGATACATCTATTTTATTTTTACTTTTTATATAATTTAATCTCTCCCTCACACTCTTACAAACAGACGCTTTGATTTGGTTTATGAACCAGTGATTTGTGCTCATGTTCCCTACAGCCAGTTTTTCTCAACGCGGTAACTCTTCTCTTGAGAACTAATTTTTGTGATTAAGCTACAAAAAGAAAATGAAAAAAAACCCAAAAACGTTTTTTTTTAAAAAAATTCATAAAAGGGTATTTTGTATTCTAATTTTTGAATAAAATTTGATCATTGCCATATCTTGAAGGTTCATAGTGTGAAACCGAATAAAACGTTTTAACTTCACATCATGCAAATATAGTTTTGCATACAATATTTGTAATTCACGAGGGAGACATACTAATTTCAGTGACACGAAACATGTGAACGCAAATCTCTCACAAATGGGTGATGCATGGCATGGAAAAACAAATGTTATTAGCAAACAGCGTCGTTGAAGTATCTTTGACAATATTTTCGCAATGTAAGCAAAAAATCATTGAGTTTCTAAAACTTCTTTCTCCAACAACTCCCTATAGTAAGGAAAATGGACTCTCATTAATATCACCTTGTTTGTTTACCCTATTTAGATTTCCTTGATGAATAATTGGGGAAAGGAAGATCATGTGACATATTTCCATATTTCAATTTTTATGAAAAATTTTGGGTCAAAGTAATTGGCAGCATTCTGTGTGACCTAATGGCATGCTTCATCGAAGGTAAAAATGGGATTTCTTTGAGGCTCATCTCTTATTAGCCACATGCCTTAATCTCATTCATTTAATGCAAGCTAGCTCCAACTAAACAGTCTATAGTAACCTGGTCAAAGATAAGAAGGGAAAGAAGGAGCAGTTCAGAAAGAATAAATTGATGTAACCCATTAATTATGTTTTTTAGTGTATGCTAATTTCATTTAGATGGGTAATTTGGGACAGAAGACGGCCAGAAAAACGCGTTTAAGAGACTTAATTTTTGACCCTATCCCTTGAAACAGCTGCCTTTTTCAAGTTTAAATGTGATACCCTTCAAGAATTGTAATTGTAATAAATTTTTGTATAAAGTAATTAAGATGTTAATCAGTCTTTTACAAATGGAAGATGGGCGACAATGAGAACAACTTAAGTGCTGTATTTCTTGCCTAGTGCCAGTTCATTCATTGTTTCATCTTAATACAAAAGAATTAATTCAGAGAGGCTTTGACTGATCCCTCTTGATATCCTGTTTAAGTATGTTTTCAATTTTCTGATGGAATCTCATGCTTCAAACTAGGTTTTCAATATGGGCCCAAAGTAAAGATAAGCCGAACTAGTAGGGTTCACCAACAAATCAATATATAATTATAATTGAACTAAAACTCAAACTTTGATGAAATTTGGATTCGAAATTTAAGATTTTTTGAAGTTTTTTTTTTTTAAATTTAATTAATTTATGTAACTATATTTAAGAAGTGTATTTAGTAGATTTAAAATTCAAAATTTATCATTTATGACACCTTTGCTTATATTCTTACATTATGGCTTCATTTATATCAAAAAGTTTTTTCCATTTTTAGTTAACCAATTCTTTATTTCCCCTAAGAACAATAATTTTTTTATTATATTGAAAAAATAGGGAATTTTGAAATAAGTACCAAAGAAGCAGCTGTTGCCTATAGAAAATTAAATGAAAAGAAATTAAAGAATGATGAAGAATTTCGAAACAATACAGTTGGTTTAGAAATATACATTTGCGGAAAGTGGTGTTTTATGAGGAAGATATTAATGGATTTAGAACATAGAATGATAATAATGTTGAAAAATTAGACAAAAACTTGGCTTTCAGAGCCATCAATTTAAGAAGTGCCGCATCAGCAAGATTGTAAGGTTCTTAGAAAGATCGTAAAACAACCAGAAAAACTTATCCAAAATTCCCCCATATAAAATTTCTATGTCAATGTCATTTTGCAATTTGTACTGATTTACAAGTGACTTTTTCAATTTGATGATATTTTTTATTTTAAAAATCCCTTCATCTTCTTTTATTTAAGTATTTTATTATTTATTTTGCTTAGGGTCTGGATCCTGGAGTGAATCAAAATTTCCTTGAATAATAAATGGGCCAACCTTTGTTCTTTGGACATGTCATTTGGGCCAAAGAAATTTTGGGTACATTAATTATTGTTGGATAAATTTTATTTTGCTTATGATGGTTAAAAAATCATTTATAAAGAAATTTACAGTAAAAGATAAAAAAATAACAAATGTTAAATTCTGAACTTTAATTTTATTAAATGTTAATTTTTATAGGTAATTATATAAATCAATTAAATTAAGTTTTGGATAAAATATAAGATGATTTAGAAATAAATTTTTTTCTCAAAATTAGTACAATTTAATCTTTAATATGGTAAGTTGCATGTAATTGAAAGCAATGAAGAAGAGGGAGGTAGAAGCATGGTGGATGGCGATGTGCGCCGACTATGTATTTTATTATATTATATAGCTAGGGTTTGCTCTTTCCTTTTTCCAAGCCATGCCTCTCGCTTTCTTCCTTTCACTAAACCAAGCACTGTTACGGCCTCCCCTCCTACCCTTTTGTCCATCCTCCTTTCTCTATATTTCCTTTCACCGTCCACGTGTGGGCCCTCTTAATTTCTACTTTTAAGTCTTCCTAAATGAAAAAAAAAAAAATTCCCATCAATTTGTTTTGGTCACTTCATTAGTGCCTTTCTTTTTTTTTTTTTTTCTTTGGAGTACTTATTTATTGGTACGACCCATCAATTCACGATAAGTTAGTTGGCAATGTCCATCACATTAAGCTTAATTTGATAGGCCAATCTTTGAATCCATGGGGATCACATAAAAAATTAAACATTCATCTATATACATATTAGACATCGATTTATAAAGACAAGAAAAGTCTAAATGGAGAGGTTCTTAGTTTTTTTTTTAATCAAACGTATGTTAATTTTTGTAAATTGATATTATTTCACAAGGACAGATGCAAATGTAAAGATAAAGTATCTATGGTAAAAAATTGAAAAATAAAAAAAATTTAAAGCAAAATTTCTTCTGGGCATTCCAAAATTTTTTTCTAACATTTTTTTTTAATTCCTTAACTACTTCACTTACTGTTATTACCCAATATGCAACCATAGTTCACGGTTAACCGACACTCACACTCAACAAACACCCGTTGCAACAAGTTTATACTTTTGAAAAAAAAAATTGGATCTATCACTATTATTTCTTATTTGTTAAATTTTAATTTTTCATAATTTTATATTCAAATTAAAACTTTGTAATTATCAATTTTTTTTTATTGATGGCAACGGGTCAATTCGGTTGGGGTGTATTTTTATTGCTTAGACTTCTACCCGATTTCATAAAGCATATACTCAATTCTAACCTAATCAGATATTAAAATATTAATTTTATATCCGATCTAATTTATATATGCATAAAATCGTATCTAACTTAATTTGATCTGAAATTAATTTAATATAATATTTATAAAATATTATTTTTAATATAAATTACAACTTAATTATATATAAATATAATATTTTTATTAAATTAATATCTTAAATTAAAATATTAAAAATAAATTTATTAATATAATACATATATATAAATATAAAATTAAATAAATACTAAAAGAATATTTTTTTATATATATATACTGAGTTAAGATAGGTTTACTTAAAATTTGACCCCAAATTTCTTTATAAAAAATTGTGTCTGAAGTTCGATTTTCAAAAAAAATAAAAATTGATCCTATTAGATCAAGTCAAAACCCAAACTCATCCCTATTTGTTTTTAGTAAAAAAATAGAATGCTTAATGAAATTTACATTAGAGTTCTAGACGATATGAGAGTAATATATAAGGTCCTCACATGTAATTAAATGTCAACATTAATCATGCATTAGAATAGGAGAAAAATTGAGTTTTAAGGTTCGAATGTTGCTCTCTTTATACTTCTTATGTGCAATTTGAAAAAAAAAAAAAGAATAGGTTTAAGTATCGTAAGTAAAAATATCTTTGAGATACACATTGTCTTTGAAACAACAATAACTTCACATGCAATTCCTAGTCTTGGGACTTTAAGTATGATACAACAATGTCCTCATTTGTGCCATGGATCATAAAAACAAGTAATTTCTTTGAACATTTTCCTATTTGGAGAACTAATTAGGTGACCAGTTACATATAAAAGCAATTTTCGGTTTGATTTTCCGGAAGATGCATTTTTGTGATGGTGTGTTTTTAATGAGAAATGAATGCAATTTTCCTCTACTATAAAAAAAATAAGAAAGCGAAATGAATGGAATTTTTGATCGAAACAATAATTAAAGATAATCACCAAATAATAAGGCATAATATAAAGTTTGCAAGTTTTAATTGATTGAATACTTCATGAATAGATATGTATATAGGACCGGCTATCCGCTTAAATTTGAAGGGCCTGTTTCGATATTTCTGAAGGTTGCCTTAACATATTTTCCTACTAAATTCTATCAGTATTTTATCTAAAAAATTTTGTTTGATGGCAAAAATAACGTCATTAGTTACTTTTATGTTGTCAGTAGTCACATTATTGGGAAAACAAGAGTAAGAAAATCATGTGAAAATAACAGACAAAGTAAACACTTCTCATTTTTTTGGTGCAAGAGGGAGGCACTTCCATCTCTACTTTACCACTTGCCCCAACAAATT